CTCTCCTTTGTTGCGCGGCGGGCCGGGCGGGGGGCGGGGTACGGAGGCGGGGCGGGCTCGAATTACTGCTGACCGCGCAGCGGCTGCACGCGCGCGGGGGGCGCCCGGGGTGCACGCTTGTTTTTCCAATTGCGAAGTTGGTCCTCGGCCTCCGGGTCTGGAAATGCGCGGCCGGCGCCGAGCCCGGTGCATACACGCGCGCCCAGCTGTTGCTCGCGGGGGCGTTGCCCCCCGGGGCCGGATGGCGACTGTGGACGATCGCTCTGTTTTCATGCCCGCCCCGCAGTGAGCCCAGACCTCAAGTCCTACGGCGAACATCCAGCCGGGTTAGTTCGTAGGGCTGTCACCACTTTGTCCACACTATAAACCCGAGCGCACTTTCTGGAAACATTGAGGTTTTCTTGGGGCAACAGAACTGGCTAGTGTGATGGTTGACTCGTGGGCACACCTGCGCATGCTTGGCTCCGGCCGCTTCAGTACCCTGTGGCCGACGTTGCCCCCGGCGGAGTGGAGGTGGCCCCGCCACTTGGATCACCTGAGGAGCGCAGACACGCCCCTCACTGTAGCCTGGGCCTGAAGCTTTCCCTCATTGTTTGAAGCTGCTCCTTGGGTCCTCAGATGCAGATGCGACTCCGAGCTGCCTTTCGGTTCTCAGCAAATCGGGCATGCACAGAGGCTAACTCAACGCGGAGCCTCGTTCGGCGGGCTCCCTGTTCCTAGTGTGTCCCCCGGCTGTTGTGCGCATACAGACGAGTCACAAGCATTTCAGTGGTCGCCTGTACCCCATTTTTGTTTGGATCCCGAAGTGTGTTTACCTGATTTTCATTTATGCCCGGCTGTGTTGTGGTTCACGCGCTGACTCTCGTGGCCACTTGTAGTTTCTTCTGGAGACACGTGCAGGCCTGGTAGCCCGGGTGCCCGTTTGCTGTAATCCCGAGGGCTCGGTGCTGCAGGGCCCTGTTCATCACGGAGGCCCCGCTGTAGATGAAGACCTAGACTGGTCTGCAACTTGAGACACCCAGGGTACACTTTATGGTTCGTCACGCAGGGCATAAAGGAAGGCCTCGTGAGTTTAGAAATGAGCAAGGGGTGCGCTGGTGATTATCAGAACGGTCTCCAGCCTGGAAGCGAAAGCGCAAACGGTTCTGACTGTTGAAAGGCTGGTCCAGGAGCTGGAAATGTTTTGGCTGGAAAAAAAAGTTTAGCTTGCACGTTAGGGCTAAGAGGAGGGCGGATCCACAGTTTCGCTTGGCAACATTGTTCAGCATTCATTCAGGCCAAATGTTTCAGTGCAGGATAGCCTCTAGGCTTCCTCAAATCTCCCCATTTTTCTCCAGGATGCTCTTATTACATGGTTTCTGGTCGCTGCCTCCTTGGGGTCCCCAGGGAGGGTGGCAGTAGTAGCCTTAGGTTCGCTCCGAGCACTGAGGCTGCTACTCAACAGTTTTGACAGATGGCCGTAAGAGTTGTTGTAGACGGCCAGCTTGAGAGTCTTGGCTGCTGGGGAAGGGATTGGGACCTGAGTGTGTGCCAAGGGACTGAGTCTAGACCTGAGGGTGTCCTCTCTAGGGTGTGTGGAATGCCCTAACCTTGGATGACCTAAGAATTCTCCCTTCTGCTGCAGGAAGGGGCTCGAGTCTTTGGGGCCCTGGGGCCTATTGGGCCCTCTTCACCTGGGCTTGCTCTTGGGGGACTTGCTGTCAATGAGCACCGGCTCAGCAACAAACTGCTGGCCTGGAGTGGCGTGCTGGAGTGGCAGGAGGTGAGCCTGGCCAGGTCCACCCAGACCCCTGAGCCAGTGGAGGGGATGGGTGGCCTGGGTGCTCTGCTGAGCCCTCACCACCCGCTCCCACCCACAGAAGCGTAGACCCTTCTCGGATTCCACAGCAAAGCTGAAGCGCACCCTGCCCTGCCAGGCCTACGTGAACCAGGGCGAGAACCTGTGAGTGTGGGAGTGGGCAGAGCCCGGGGCGGCCTAGGATGCAGGGAATGGCTTCTGATGCTCCCCCTACCGTAGGGAGACGGACCAGTGGCCCCAGAAGCTGATCATGCAGCTCATCCCACAGCAGCTGCTGGTGAGACTTTGGGTTGTGTCCCCCAAATCCGGGCCCCGCCCACACAACCCAAGCTCCCCCCCTCCCAGCAAAATCTCGCCAGCATCTCCCTGCACTTGCCTCGCCGTGATCGGTGTTTCCCCTGTCATCCACAGACCACACTGGGCCCCCTATTCCGAAACTCTCAGCTGGCCCAGTTCCACTTCACCAACAGAGACTGTGACTCCCTCAAGGGCCTCTGCCGCATCATGGGCAACGGCTTCGTGAGTGGACTGGGGACCAGTGGGGTGGGGCCTAGTTCTGCCCTGTCCTGTGCCCCTTAAGAGGTCATCCCAGGACTTTGATGGGACTGTGAAGTGACAGGCACATGAGCCTGTGGGTTCTGCCTCTGAAGTGGAGCCCTTTGCTTCTCAGGGCATGTGTGTTTGGCGGGGGTTTGGCGGGGGTGGGGAGGGGTGGGAGGGTGCAGAGGCCAGCCTCTACTGCTGTGGACCCAGTCTGGGGCCACTGGGCTGCGGCAGGTGACAAGAGAGGGTGGGGGAAGTCACCGGCCCACTCGTGCAGGGGACTGGATCCCAGACTCCTCCCCAGCTCTGCCCGAGGCTGGTACACCCTCCCACTTGACCACCTGCAAGGATTTGTCCCTTTTCTGGGCCCCGGTGCCCGGGACATGTGTGGCTGCACCCTTGTGCCAGCAGCAGCTTCACTGGGGTAGTGTCCCAGAGCTCAGGGTTTGGAGAATGGCTGGCCGGTGAGGTAGATGTGCCGTACGCCCTGGCACAGGATGGGCTGGCCTACAGGTAGCTGTCCTCCCAGTGAAGAAGGACTGGCACCTTGGTTAGTGTTATGTGGTCGTAGCTACGTGGCGTCACTGTGCTGTTGCGGTGTCTTACAGGTGGGGAAACTGGAATCCTAAGACGGGAAGTGGCTTGCCTTGGGTGGCACAGCAGCCACCCAAAATTTGATTTTTTTTTTTTTTTTTTTTTTTTAATGGTATGTGTGTGTCATGTGTGTGCCTGGTGCTGCAGAGACTAGAAGAGGTCATCCTATCCCACGGGAAAGAATGGAAGGTTGTGAACTGCCATGTGGGTGCTGGGAACCAAACCTTAGCCCAAACAAGAGCAGCCAGTTCTCGCTACTGAGCCTCTCCCAGCCCCCTGCCCTTGAGCCAGCAGCAGCGCTGGGCCCGGGAGAAGGGAGAGACACAGCTATACAGGGTTCTGGGCTTCCCCATGCCCCAGCCCTGTAAGTCATCAGGGTTTGAGGAGGTGGCAAAGAGTGGTTCACCTGCTCTCGGGAAAGCCTTGATTGGGCTGTGTTTTGGTGAGCCTGGGCTCTCCACTAGGAGCTGGTCAGCGTGGAGGGTCAGGCCCCTGACCCTCGGCCCTGTCCCCACAGGCTGGCTGCATGCTCTTCCCGCACATTTCTCCTTGCGAGGTGCGAGTGCTCATGCTCCTGTACTCGTCTAAGAAGAAGATCTTCATGGGCCTCATCCCCTATGACCAGAGCGGCTTCGTCAATGCCATACGGCAGGTCATCACCACCCGCAAACAGGTGTGCCCCGAGGGCAGCCTGCGCCTCCTCCCACTGTTGGTGGACGGCCTCTGACTGGTGTAGGGTGTGGTGTGACAGCAGGCTGAGGGCCGCCAGAGGAGCCGTGAAGAGGAGGCGGCCCACCGGACAGGGCTTGATGGGGAAAGTAGCTTCCTGGGCCATGAAGGGGACGGGACGGCCAGAGGGTGGGTCCTGGGTGTAGAACCCTGTAGAGCGAGGTGGGGGGGGCAGGTTTGGCAAGAGGCCAACGTCTCTGCAGGGAAAACGTGTGTCCTGGCACACGTTTGTGTGGTGTTGATGGCATCCTCAGGCTTCGGTGGCTGTGGGCCTCTGTGCCACCAGGGCCGGAGACTGGTCTGGGGCAACTTGGGAGCACAGAACGTTGGCAGTGAAGTCAGGGCTGAGGCAGCTCGTGGGAAAGTCTGAGCTGGAGCTGCTGGTGGTATGGTGGTGTCCTGTCCCGCAGGCCGTGGGCCCTGGCGGTGTGCACTCTGGACCTGTTCAGATCGTCAACAACAAGTTCCTGGCTTGGAGCGGCGTCATGGAGTGGCAGGAGGTGAGCTGCGGGGGCTGTGTGGGCTGCTGGCCCTGCACTGCCCGCCCCTGAAGTGCCCTCTCGCTCTGCCCCAAAGCCCAGGCCTGAGCCCAACAGCCGGTCCAAGCGGTGGCTGCCATCCCACGTCTACGTGAACCAAGGGGAGATTCTGTGAGTTGGGGGGGCGGTTGGCAGGTGGGCACGTTTGCCGTGCAGGCCCCTGGGGAAGGGCCTTCCTGACTGATGGCTGCTGTCATGTGGCAGGAGGACAGATCAGTGGCCACGGAGGCTCTTCATGCAGCTCATCCCGCAGCAGTTGCTGGTGAGGGGACGGGACAGCGGCCTGGGGGCGGGGAGCCGGCCCCGGGCGGGCTGGCGCAGAGTGCGGGAGCCAGGGCTCAGCGGGCCTCGTCCTTCCCCAGACCACTCTGGTGCCGCTGTTCCGGAACTCGCGCCTGGTGCAGTTCCACTTCACCAAGGACATGGAGACTCTCAAGAGCCTGTGTCGGATCATGGACAATGGCTTTGTGAGTGGAGGGCAGAAGTCACGGAGGCAGGCATAGCAGCTACTGTGGTAGCTGCGCTGGGGCCTCCTGCACGTTTGCATGTTCGGTCCCCCCCACCCCCCAGCCCTCGTGCTCTGACCAAGGCTTTCCTGGAGAACTGAGGCGCCATGTTTGTCAGCAACACATGGCGACACTCAGACAGCCCCCTTAGCTAGAGAGGGCCCTGCCTCACGACAGTCCCTACCCCAGCTCGGTGCCACACTACCAGCCACTACATGCTGTTGAGCTGGGCCCAGCATTTCCAGAAAATGTGGGAGGCCCAGAGCACCCAAGACCCAGATCCACCAACTCTGTGGCTTCATTTTCCTCTGTGAGCAGGCGATTCCCTGGGCTGGAACTAGTGAGGGTGCCCCAGAACCTTGGAGAGCCCTTGGTTGTTGATGCTGACCTGACACAGCCAGGTCTAGAGTCTCAGGGGCCTTGTCCTCAGTGTGAAGGAACGGGGCTTGCCGAGGCTGGGGCCATAGCCTGGCAGCTTCGGGGTCCTTTGTCCGAATGCCCTGGACCTGCCGTTAGGGAGCTGGTAGTCTTGGGTCCAGTTGTTCCCGTATGGCCCTTTGTGGCTGAGTGTGCGTAACTAAGTGTCCTGATTCCGGCCTGCTGTTAGGCGGGCTGCGTGCACTTCTCCTACAAGGCCTCCTGCGAGGTGCGCGTGCTCATGCTCCTGTACTCCTCGGAGAAGAAGATCTTCATCGGCCTCATCCCACATGACCAGAGCAACTTTGTCAACGGCATCCGTCGAGTCATTGCCAACCAACAGCAGGTCCTGCAGCGAAGTCTGGAGCAGGAGCAGCAGCAGAGAGGGGTGAGGCTGGCTCTGCCATGCACACGGCACTGGGCCCCTGCCCCTGGGTGCCCACTTCTGAACTTGCCCTGATTTCTTCCTCTGCAGATGGGTGGCTAGTGGACCCCCAGGCTGGGCGGGCCACAGTCCCAGACGAGGCCCCAATGGAGACTGGTGAGCAGTACTTGTATTTGCGGGAAGCAGCTGGGTGGCCCCGGCCTTAGGGAGACCCGCTGCATGAAGCACTGCCTCCTGGTACAAGTATCCCTGCCAAGGAATGGATGCCAGGGCCACGGCTTCAGGGCCTGAGGGTAGGGTGCAGTTTCACTAGTAGAAGCCACCCCTCCTGCCTCCCAGGTCAGATGCTTCTGAGCAGGGGCTTCTGGGGACTGTGCCTGCCCAGCCAGCTGGAGGACAGCGTCCCAAGTTCTCCCAAGGATGGTCCTAGCCCCTGTATGTTTCCCTAATAAAGCCTTTTAACCCACATGCCATCCCTCCCTGCTGATTCTGTGTTCAGTGCAAGATGGTCGTGGCTCCAGAGATCACCTTGGTGGGGCCACCCCAAGTTCAGGGCTGTGGACTCTGGCAGTCTGGGGGATGTGTGCTATTCTAGGAGTAGGTGGAAAGGCAGGCTCATCAGGCCAATTAGTCCATATGAAGCCTTTCATTGACAACACATTATAATTTCCTGTTCCTGGGCAAACAGAGCATCCTGAGACTCCAGTCTCAGCTCTGTTGTCCCACAACTGGGCTCTTACAAACCTCTTGTTGACTGGCCAGTCGGGTCCTGCTTTCCCCCACCGCCAAATGGCCATGGCTCCTCAAACCAGCGGGTGTGCTGGGTGCACAAGAGCCCACTTGTAAACCCATGCACCAAGCATTGTGGCACCCGCGTTGCCTCCCACAACTCCACCAAAATGCCTGTGAGCAAAGCAGCAGCCTTTATTGCGGGCTCAGCCCTCCAAAAACTGGCAGTACAATCGCTGCAGCGCAGGGTCCTGATGCGTCCGCAGCCGGAACGGAACCTGAAGGATCTCCAGGAAGCCCTCGTCCAGTGTGGGCGGCTCAAACTGCTTCCTGTGAGACGGGGGTGTGGGTGTGTGAGGCTCTGTACCCCACCTCCTGCAACCTCCAGCCCCCCAGAACCTCTGGACCTGTAGCTGAACATGACCATGTCTGACACTGGTGCATGCGAGGGGTCGGTCATTTCTCGGAACTGCAAAAAGAGGCATACAAGTCAGAAGGCGGTGTGTGGGGCTTGGGAGAGGGGCGGGGCCTGGAGGGCGGGGCTCACCCTGTTGTTGTGGCGAGCCTGCTCCAGCGTGGCACAGAAGTTGAAGCAGCGACAGGGGACACCTGCGTCTTTGGCGCATTGGATGTACCTGTGGAGGCAAGCCTGCCTTCACTAACAGACACCTAGCGCGCTCGGTGCTCCCAGCCCCACCACGGGTTACAGTACCTCGCCCGACTTGGGACATCCGGGTTGGTGTTATCAATTACGACTTGCTTCCTCTGTCTCAGTGCAGCCTGGCAAGAGCTCACACAGCGCTGCCACGAGCCCAGTGTGTCCTGTGGGACCCAGGACCGGTCACGAGCCGGTCTGGGGAGCCCCCACCCCATCCCTAGAGCAGCACCACATGGAGGGTGGGGTGCAGTCCACTCACCCTGTTCACATGGACGTACCCAGCAGACAGCAGGTGCTCCTGGATGAAAGTGGACTTGCCAGCTGTGGGGGCAGGGTAGCCATCAGCTAGTGCCTAGGACTCCAGTGAGTGTTAGGGGGAAGTCAGGGGTCGGGCTGTGGCGTCTCACCCCCAGGGAATCCTACTGCGACCACCACCTCTGGGTTGGGGCTCAGGAGGAAGCTGGACTCCGGGAGGTACAGGGGCCCAGCACTGGAGATGGTCCTCTGGCAGGGGACAAAAAGGGGGTGTGAGCCCAGGGAGCCAGACAACAGCCTCTTCCCTTGGGGCCTTTTCCCTCTGGGCCTCACCGGGTCGAAAGCTGGAAGCTCAAAGTGGGCTGCTGGCCACTTAAGAAAGAACTCTTCAGGAGTGGCAAAGGGCAGGCCAACGTTAAGGGCAAACTGGGGGGAAAGCAGAGGTCAGAAGAGTTCAGGGGTGCGGCAGGGAGGACATGGAGGGGTGGGCAGATCGGGGAGACAGACACCAGGCTTACTAGGCGGTCTGCACAGGAGAAGTCTTTCTTCTTCCTCCCTGGGGCCCAGTTGGCTGGGCGCCCTGCTGCATCTACAAGAGGAAGGCGACATTGTCCACTGCTGAGCCTCAGAGGGTTTCTGACAACCCCAGAAGCCTGGGCCTCTTACCTCCCACGAAGACACTGTCCTCGATGGAGATGGGCATGCCCTCGTTGGCCTGCAAAGAGAGGCAGTGAGAAGACCCTCTCTCTATGGGACAGCAGAGGGGCTGGCCGGACCACATCTAAAGGCTTTGCTGTGGAGTGTCCCGCCTGTTCCCCCAGTGGCCTCCAGAGGGCGCACATCCCTCAGCAGCCCCTACTCTTCCCACTTGTGGCCTTAAGGTCTGTTTTCCTGATCTGTACCCATGGGGCTCTTCCTTCAACTGCTCCCCATGTCCCCGATACCCACGGGCTCCGCTTCAGCCCTGAGCATTTGTTTACGTCTCAGAGGCCATACCTGGCTCCCCCCCCCCCCCCCCCCCCCCCACTTCAGCACCTCTAGGCTGGGAAGGTCAGCATCCCAGCAGGAAGGCACTCACCTGCTCCTGCAGATGGTCCCACATGCCACTCACTGGCTTTCGGTTTAGACCTGCATGCGTTGCCACCAGCACCTATGGAGGTGGCCAGGCCACAGGGTCCTTAGTGCTCCCTTGGGGTCTCCGAGGACAGTTCCTGTCAACGCGACCCCAGCCAAGGCCTCCACCCTCCACCCTGGCATGTTCTAAGTGGCCCTTCTGGCTGTACCTGAAATGGGACTCCCAGCTTCTCCAGCACAGCCTCCACCTTGGCCTTGAACACCTCTGCGGACAGCTTCCCTCGCCCAATGCCCATTTGGTTGGTGAAGATTACCAGCTGGGATAGACAAGTACACACCGGAGCCCCTTACCACAGCCCAACCTGAACTCCACACGAACACGCTCCTGCAGCGCAGGCTCCCACCCCCTGGAGCCCCTGGAGCCCAGCACACAGCTGTGCACAACACACACCTTGTAGCCCTCAGCATGCAGCTCCTGGAGTTTCTTTGGGATCTCTGGGTATAGGATCCTAAGGTTGGTGGGAAGCAGCGGGTGACTTGTAGTCTAAAGGACTCTGGGACCTCCAGCCTCTTCCCATGTCCCACCTCACCTCCAGTCGCTAGGGCTAGTGGGGAAGACCTTTCCAGAGCGGGTGGTGATGAGGGTTCCATCTAGGTCAAAGGCAGCCACCTGGTATCACCAAAAACAGGGACAGCATTACCGTCACCTCTGACCTTCCTGACAGGCTGGCACCAGCCTTTTGATACTGGGTCACCCTTAGGAACAGGGGTCCCAAGTCACAGAGTGTGCACAGTCTAGGTAGGGGAAGACTCAGCACCGCAGCTTACTAATCCTGTGTTCTCTGCTCCCCATTTCCAGTCTTGAGAGGAACCAGTGTCCCACCTGCTCTCTTCTCCTGAGCATCTCCTTGGAGGATTAACAGCCCAGAAAGAGCAAAGGCCTTTGCAGGAAGAGCTGGAGAGATGACTCCATGGTCAGGCGCACACACACATCAGGCGGCCTGTAACTGCAGCTCCAGGGCACCCAATGCTCTCTGGCCTTTGCAGCCACGTGCATGCGTATGGTACACACACAAGCATGAAGGCCATATAAATGGATACATTTTTAAAACAAACCTCACTGTTGGCTGAGTGCCCACCAGGAACTAGACCACACCTTTTCAAGTGGTCGGTAAACACATGCAGGAGAGGTCTGGGGGACACCGGCTGCAGGGCCTGCTCTGTACCCTGCACCTCAGCGGTGGCAGCCACCACTGGGGTCTCAGCAGGCCCTGCTCACAACAGTTGAGGCCCAGAGATGGATAAGACTAGTCCAGGGCTACACAGCAAACTTTTAATTGAATAGCTGGAGCTGGTGGTGGCCTCACCTTACCCCGGGGCTTCACCTCAGATGCGGTGAACACCAGTAACTTCTTTAAGCTCTCCCAGCCAGGGGATGATTTCCGCACCCGCTTTTTCTGAGGCTCAGCATCCTCCCCCTCCTGTGGATGCACAGGAGCAGTGCTCGGAGGAGCATCTGGCTGGGTTCCTGGTGTGCCAATGTCTTCCCAACACAGGGTCAGGGGATACAGGCCGTTAACCAGATAAAGGATGTCTCCCAAGCTTAAAGAGCCGGACAATCCTGGCTTCAACTCCTGGCCCCCAACAGTTGATGGGTTAACACCGAGCTGCAGAGAAAGGAGGATGTAGAGTTGGCTCTACCCCTCAGAGAATGCCCCCTCCCCAAGTCCAATACCCCAGCTCCCACCAGCTCACCAGACCCTCAGTTCCCACCTATTTCCTTCCTGCCACCAATCAGAACTCTGAAAGGTTACAGGCTTCCAGTCTGGCAGGTGGAAAAGGGGAAAGCTGAAGGCTTGTGATCCACCCGGGCCTCTCCCAAGTCCTGGCTACACGCCGCTGAGACCCTGGTACCTGTTTCACTGCCACTGTCCGGGTCTCAGGGTCTGCAATCAGCTCCACTGAGGGTAAGGGGGTGGAGTCAGGGTTTACATCGCATACATCCGCTGGGCAGAATGCTCAGACCTTGCACAAGACCTAGGTAGGTCTACCCAATGTATCTTATGGCGCAATCCGACCTTACAGATTTTGAAAAAACAAAACAAAACAAAACAAAAACCCTATCCTGAGCAAGCCCGGCTTTCCGGTAGTCCTAGGGACTCGCTTCTCCAAGTGACCAGCTACAGACGATATCTTGCTCTTCGATGAAAGAGGCAATTTCTCCCTTTCTTCCCTCTCGCAACGCAGGGCCTCAAGTAGTCCAGGATAGCCTAGAACTCACTGCATACTGGCGGCTGGCTTGGAACTGATTCTCATGCATTTACCACCCCAGAGTCTGGATGACAGGTGTGTGTCACCCTCGACCTGAAGCAATTTATTCCTCAAAAGGACCGGGTCCTTCACTTGTAGAGGCGAATCCCTAGGACGACCAGAAACGCGGGCTTGCTGATAGTTCTGTAAGGTCGGCTTGCTCCATGAGATACACTGTGTCTTGAGCAAGGCCTGATGCATTCTGCCCAGCGACCGAAAGCATCCTCCTCCCCGGTGACAATCTCCAGGATCCGCTCTGTCCCTCCCCTAAGGCCTCCTCTAGCACCTCTCTATTAGGCACAAGCTCCCTAGCAGCGCTCGCAGCCAGTTCCACTCCCGTACCCACCTTGCTTTCGGGAGCACTTCCGGTCCGTCACCTGGGTCAGGGGGCCCCGACCGAGGACCAGGGCTTGGCCATCCAACGGCAGGAATATAGGGGGCAATCCTCCGGCGGGGCTCTGCAGCCACAGGCGGCCCCGGGATCCAAGCTGTGACATCTCCGGACGCTGGGAAAGGGAACCGACTCACCGATAATAAGCTCGCTGGGCAGAGGGCAACGGTTCCGCCACCGGAAGTCCTGCCTTCGGAGAGCGTCGCTCCGGAAATCCCTCCCCTTGCCCATGGGCTGTTCCACGTTTCCCAGGATACCACAGCGGTGATGATACGTAGCGAAGATTGCTTACAGTTGGGGTCCCTCCCAAATTTATCCCAAAGCTCACCACAGCTGTGGGAACAGCGCCTGCTCCGCCTACGACCCGCACGGGTCTCCGTGAGCTCCTGCGGACAGCCGTAGGGCGGATCCGGGGGCTCTTGATCCCTAGGTTACTTGGTTTTGTTTTACTTTTTAGGGTCTCAGAATGTAGCCGTGTTGTTAAAATTTCTTCGTGAGGTGTGTGTGTGAGGTACACTAGTTTAATCCCAGCATTCTGGAGGCAGAGGTAGGCAGATCTGTGTGAATTCTAGGCCAGTCCCGTCTACATAGTAAGACCCTGCCCCGACGCAAAATAAAAAATAGAGGAATTTGCTTCCCAGGGGAAGACTTAAACTAAAGTGTATATATCCTCCTAAGGGCTGAAGGATAAACCGAAATACGATTCCACCAGAGATCACTCTAGGGAGCCAGTTTATTGACTTACAGAGAATAGACGTGGGCCACTCGCAAAAGGCGCGCTGGGCAGTCTTTCCCTAGTCCCACAGGGCACAGGCAGAGCCCTTTCCTGTACTTTTTCCTCTAGCCCCTCCCAGGCCACAGGCAATTAGGGCAGAATTGTATATAGCTGTCTGTGAGGGTTTGTCTGAAAACAAAACAAAAAACACCAAACCAAACCAAACCCACCTGGTCATCGGTGGGGTTGTTTTATGTTTTCCAGTATGAGGTCATCTCTGTGTAGCCTTGGCTGTCCTGGAACTTGCTCTTGCAGACTCCCAGCCTGGTCTCAAACTCAAGAGATGCACCTGCCTCTGCCTCCCAAGCGCTAGAACTAAAGGTGTGCGCCAACACGCCTGGTTTTGGTTTGTTCTTTGAGGAAGGGTCTCAAGTAGTCCAGACTGACATTAACTCCCGTCTCTTAAATCCGCCTTCCAGTTTCTGGAAGGGCAGCTGTGTCATGGGGCACAAACGCTGGAAACCGGCGTTTGTCCTTAGTATTCAAAGCCGGTATGCCCAACACGCATCATTCCTTTGCTCCCATGATACCGGGCTCTCTGCAATAAAGTGGAAAATCGCTCCCACCTCCTGGGGCAAATGCGCTAAAGCTGGGTGTGGTGGGGCAGACGGGAAATCTCAGCAAAGACAGGGGAGCCAACCTGGGCTAAAAGTGAAATCGTCTGAAAAGGCAAAACAAAAGGGAGGCAACCCCGTCCCCTTCGCCTCGGTGGTGGCAGGCGGAGTCCCTGGTCGGCCTGCACGCGCTCAGACACGCCCCCGAAAGCCCGAGCTTCATCGCTCCCGCTGGGGCCGCAGCGCCATACCCACAGCGCACGCCACACGCCGGCTGGTGAGAGGTAAAACCTTTAATTTCAGAGCGGCCCTCCTGACTCCCGCTCCACCCCACTCCCGCACCCCAGGCCAGGGCCGGAGAGTGAGGCCCCTGCCCCCCACCTCGGGTGGGAGAGGGCCTTTAAGGCACCTGTCGGGGTCGGGGGACAGGAAGCTGGTGCCGTCCTGGGTACAGGACATTGAGAACAGGCTGTCTGGCGGTGGGACCTAGGAGGGCGTCAGACGCAGAGCACGACGGGACATCCCCAAGGGGCCCAGGGTACAAATGCCAGGACTCGGGCCAAAACAGAAAGAAACAAAAAAACAAACCACCAAAACCCCAGCCCCGTAGTGTAATAAACTCAAAGCCTCGGGCCAACTCTGGGTTCGGGAGGGCTTGGCCACAACCCCAGGCCCGGGCCAATCGGGTGGAGGAATCTCAGGAAGGGCGGCCGGTGGCTCTCCGGCCATTGGCGGAGCAGCACGGCTCCCGCAGCTGGGCTCCGCCCTCGGGCCGCCACTCCAGGCGGGCGAAGCTGCTGTTGCTAGGCAAGAAACGGAGTCGACCCACTGAGCTTTTACAACTAGCCCCGCCCAGCCGGAGCGAGCCAATCCCGTCAAGAATTGTTCTGTTGCCGGGCAGACGGAGCAGCAAAGACCAATGGCCGAAGCGGACAGTGTCCTCTCGCTCGCCTCGGCCCACTCGGCGTCCTGCACGCTCAGTATTTCCGCTTCAGCTTCTGGAAGTCGCTGGTATTGAGCCGCGGGCGCGGCAGGTCCCCAAAGACCTGGGTGTCCTCGGCCTCCCGCAGCACCAGAGCGCGCATGCTAGCCGCTATTCGGTCTAGGTCGGGCGAGGAGGGCTGTGGAGGGAGAAAGGGTCAGTGCACAGGCACTCCCTCCCAGAAGTCCTCCCTCCCGCACCTTCCGGTACAAGACGCCGGCCCTGCCAAGGAGCAGAGGCCTGGGCACCGAGGCGCCCGGCCGCACTTCGGCAAAGACAGCAGGCCCCTGCCCAGGTCCCAAGGGGTGTCAATATAGGGACCTGGCCACATGGGATAAGAGAAGCGGCGCGGGAGTGGTGTGTGTGGGCTCCTTGTCGCCTGACCATTCAATGCCTTGTTTTCCCGCTCCTCCAGGCAGTTTTCCAGTAAAGGGTGGTCCAGGCCAGCCTGAGAACACCTGGGAGATAATCTGACCCCAGATGGGGGCCTTTCTAACCCTGCAGCAGACTGCTCTGGGCCATCCCACCGTCTGGTTCCCCCCTCACCGGGCCATTCTCCTCATCTGAGGATCGTGCTTCTGTCCTCTTCTCCTTGAAAGCCCACACTGGCACCGACACGGGCAGAGACTTGGCATACTGCTGGGTAGGCAGGGCTGTGGCCGGGGGCTTAGGACAGGCTGGGGGACCAGCGGGGGTCTCCTCACTCAGGCTGCCGTCTGCGACACAGGGAAGCTTCAGCTTCTGTCCCCCTACCCTCAGCCTGGCCTGTTAGGGCTCAGCCAACCCAGGATCCTCACCATCTGTGCTCTCCGGGTCTGACTCGCAAAAGGGGGGCAGGTCCTGGAGGGTGGCATCCTCATCCATCATGAAGAGTCCTGTGGATGGGACGGGCCCTACAATTGGTCCCTGTGCCTCAACACTCCTCCTTTGCCTGCCTGGTCACTCAGGGCCCCTTCCACTATCAAGGGTTAACAGCTAGATTCACCTTGGTGCTCGGGACCAAATAGCTCCTGAAGGGGAACAAATGAAAAACCCTGAGATCATGCCACTTGCTGAGGTTTTGGTGATCTGATGCCACACCACCTGACTCTAGAGCCCACACCCTTCGTGGCATGCTGGTTTTCGCAAAAAGGACCAGGTGGCGAGCAGCATAGCATATGTGTTATTCCTACTCACCCCTCAAAACCCTGTGGTAACATTACCCTCTCTGGGAAACCTCCCTTGTGCTCCCCAAACAGCTGTCTCTAGATCCAGTTGCCCAAAGAGGGATTTCATGGGACATGGAAAATGCTGTCTTGAGCCCAAACATGCCTCATAAGAAGTGCTTGTAACCATCTCTGGCCCTGGCTTCCTCAGCTCCCACTCCGGGAAACTTCTCCACTTTCCACGGCCAGGGTGGCAGTCCCAAACCCCTTTCTTTCCAGAGACATCTACAGCTCTCAGCATGCTCGAGTTCCGTGGCAGACCAGAAGCCCTCAAGGAAATGCCCAACCACGGTGTGCTGTATTTGTTCAACGGATTGTGTTACTGCTCCTGTGCAGCTGTTGGACCTTGTGTGAGGCTTGGAAGGAATCTATCCAAAGGATGCACAAGTGCCCAGTAACCAGCAACCCCACGCCAGTGCCAACCCTACCAGCTCACCTCCATTATCGCTACAGCCCAGCCGCTCCCCAGAAGTCTCTGTCTCAGTGGGCTCGTCCTCATCTTCCTCATCATCCTCCCTGGCCACGGCTGGCCGAGGTGGAGGGCTAGGAGAGGGGCTAGGCGGCTGTGGTGCTGGTGGGGGACCAGGAGGTCGGATGGCAGTGGCAGCCCTGTGCGCCTGTGCGATATCGTGGAGGCAGCGGCGGGCAGCCTCTGCCAGGGCCCCGCGGCCATGTGCAGCATAGGCACAGGGCCCTGGTCGGGGCGGCGGGGGCGGTGCTGCAGTCAGTAACACCAGCTCAGTGCCAGTGCGGGCCCGGAAACGCTCGGCGGCCCCCACAACAGCTTCCCACAGTTCCTCTGGCCGCCCAGACGCCATCCGAGCCCTGTGGGCCAAAGCAGGACAAGGGCTGAGGCTGCTCCTGTCACTACCCATTCAACGCAACGCCCCCTCCATGGCATGCAGCTGTCCCAACTGAGCTCCCATCCCTCACACCTCTTTGCCAAACCTGCCTCCCTTGTGACCTGAACCAGACACCATCCTTTCCAGTCCTAGGTTTCTTCTTATCCCCATCCTGTTCCCCACAGTAACTGCCCCAAAGCCTGGAGTCTTCATCTGTTTTGGCTATGGGAATTGTATCCAAGTTCATGGTTTGTGGTTATTTTAGCTTGTATTTTTGGAGACAGGATCTCAAGTAGTTTCAGGTTGGCCCGAAACTCACTATGTGAATAAAGGTGCCTTTGAAGTCCTTATTTTAATGCATACAACTGCTGAGTGCTGGGTTCTGTGTGTGTACTACTACACCTGGTTTATGTGGTTCAGGGGACTGAACCCAAGACTTGAGTGCCAGCAAGCACCAACTGAGCTGTATCAAGGCCAGTCTAGGTGTTTAAGACAGGGTGACATACAGCCTTAGAAATCAACCCTCCTTCCTCCACTGGAATTAGAGGTGTGAAGCATCATATGCCATACCCAGCCTGTCATGGAGGACTTACACACATTCCATGTGCATCTTTCCCATGGTGTTAGGACATTAATTCACATGTGAACCAGGCATGGTGGCACACACCTGAAACTGCAGTCCTCAGATGCTGTGCAAGACCGTCATGGCTTTGAGGTCAGCCTAGCATGCAGAGACCCCACACTCAGAACCACAGCACCCTTGCCAGTGCTAGTCCTCACCCTTTACTTGGTCCAGCAGGCACTTTTTCCCACTGCAGTGGGACTCTGCCCTCCAGTCTCCAGGACCAGAGGGACCCTACCCCAAGCTCACTGGCCCTCAGGTCACTGCCAGCCTTCCATCCACTTGGTGAGAGACATACCCCCTCCCCTGGGTGGGTCTACCCAGCCCCTCTGCTGGGCTTCCAGGGTCATTCTCTCAGGGGAGGCATGAACTCTGGGCTGAAGATGGGCAAAGGATGACGCAAACTGGTCTGTGCCCAGAATCACATCAACTTTCATATTTCCTCAGCTCACACTGTGCAAGGGACTGCTGAGCTGCCTGCCTCCCCAGTCATACAGGGAACTCCTGGATGGCAAGGATCCAGGTCCCTACCATGACTGACTCAAACCTGTAGTGAGACCTTGGGCCACTCAAGGGCTCTCTGTGCCTGCCTCTCTTCCTCATTAACCAAGGTGGGTGAGCCACAGCTTCTAGGCAGCTGAGGATTCTCCTCGGGAGCTAGCAAGCACCTGACCACTGGAAGGATTCAAGCCCACCAGGACCAAAATGAAGAGAAAGGAGGATTCTGCACGTAGTTTGCAAGCTTATCTGTCACAACCAAAAAAGCCAAACTGCTCCCAGACCTTACACTGGTCATCTCCACCTGCCTCAGCAAAGTGGAACTGCGCAGTGTTGGACCAGAAGAGGATCACCATTTCTAAACAACCTCTCGCTTCCTACAACATGAAGCTGCAGTGGCCACCCCACAGGACCTTGACTGCTACACTGGCAGAACTGGCCAGTGAGAAGGGCAGTTGGTGTCTGGAGTCCTCTGACAACCCTGAGCTTCACCCTGCCTATCTGAGTAGACTAGATTCCCCATCCCATCTTGCCATCGAGAGGGAGAAAGCTGTAGGCACCTGTCACGACACACGAAGATGAGCTGCAGTGGTTTGATAGTATCGTCTGCTGGGCCTCAAAGTCCTACCTAAAGCTTTAGAAGGCGCTCACCGACTCCTCCACACACCTTCCACTGTTCCTAGCTGATGAAGGAGGCTGGAAACTTAGGTGACTGGTCCAAGATGACACAGCCTGGACGACTGTTAGCTTAGGTTCACTTCTTTGGGAACAGAAGAGAGCAAAGAATGGCAGGACCTAGCTCCTCCTCTTAGATCTCGGGGTAGCCACGGCAGCGGTGTGAAAACCGGGCGAGTGACTTGTGAAGGCGGCTCAAAGGAGGGCAACTTACTCAGACCTCCTAGGCCTGTGGCCTCCTATCAGGTGAGACTCGGGGGCAAACCAGCAAGGGGGAGCTGTCCAGTGGGAAGGTGCAGGCCTCCCAGGACAGGTGTGGAGGGAGATAGGGAAGAAAACGGCTGCAGCACGGGACACGGAGCGGGGTGTCCCAGGAGGATCCTACCACCGAAGGTCGGGGAGTGGGGCTGCACCACGCCCGCGGCCCAGCGAGGCCCCTTCTCTAGGAAGAAAACAGGAAATCCCGCCCCCGGTGGGAATCTAGACCGGAAGTCCCGCCCGGGGCGCCCCCTCACCCATCAGCGACCCACACACATAGCCGAATGGACAGGGTTCACCGGCAGTGTGAGCGTTCCAGCACATCTGCACCCTCGGAGAGGAGGTCGTCTAGGATTCGTCACCAGTCAGATACATGGGGCTGAGCGTTAGCCATTTCAGCACTCAGCCAAGGGTGGCAGGACGATTACCGCCCCAGACCTATGCAGACCGAACCCTTCCCATAGCGGTTTGCCCTCCCACAGTCCCTCAACCTTAGGAAGAGCCGACCCTCCCCAAACCCCAGCTCACAACGCCGCCTCCACTCACGTGCCCGTAGCCAGCATGGCCAGCCAGGCGCCGTCACCGCCCTCAAAAGGCATGGCGGCTTCTTGCGTCACTTCCGTGTGGCTGCCCCGCCTCCATTGTGTACACTCCGCCTCCCTTATCCTGGATGCCTCAAATCAAAATAGCAACCAGAAGCTACACGGGCAAGCACGGAGCAAAGGCAACAGCAGAGTGCGCACTGAATGGAAAACCTGGTGAAAGACTTTAGCTACACCATTTCGATTTGCCGCAACATACACGGCTGCCTGCCCATGCTCGCACGAAGGCAAGCAGCGCGGCGTCCCTCGTCCGCAACCAGCTTCTAGCACAGAAGTGTAGAAAAAGTGGTCCCGTCCCGACGTGACTGTAGTACGGCTTTATACGCCGACAACGCCTATAAAGCCCTTCCTTCCGCCCACCCTACCTCTCCCCACCCCCGGCTCGCCCCTCTAGCACGACGCCGGCAGAGGTTCAGACTGGCAGCATTTCTTGCTTCGGTTTGCCCAGCTTCAAGATGGTGGCGCAGCCCTCTTTCCACGGTGACTCAGGAGTTTGGGGCACTGAGTCTCACCCCTTACCCCAACCCCTCAGCGCCTCTAGTACTGCACCGCTTCTCTCACCTCTTCCTTTCTCCGTTTCGCTTTTCCAACACCTCGCTTTCGTGCCCCTCATTAACATGGCTTCCACCGAGCCGCTAGAGTTTGCCCTCGAGAAAAATGGCATAGTATTGGCTTCGATGCCAATATAAAATATGGAGAGGGCGGAGGAGGCGTTCCCGAACGATCACGAGTTTTGGGTAGGGTACTGGGTCCTCCTACTTGTTTACTTCGTAGCGAGAGTGGCGCGCTGCGCCTGCGCAGCCTCCCTGCCCCGTACTAACTTTTCTGTTTACACCACGTGACCTGGATCTTGGGGTTTCAACTACCCTGTTCAGAAAGATGGTTTCATCCACTGCAGCTCTACAACATTAGGGGCGCTACCACTATCTGGCCTGGAGGGGCGTGTCCGTTCCGGATATGACACTATGTTGACCCGGAAAAGGAGGAGATCAGGGCAGGGAACCTCCGCGGCGGCTATGGCAGGGTCCAGCTACAGGGTAAGAGCGGAATCCATTCCCTCGTTTATCTATAGGAGACAGCCCCCACTGATGGTCGGCTTCCACTTTCCGCTGTGCAGGGACTAAGCAGAGCTAACTTAGCAAGAACTGTTTCCTGGTAAATACGCTGTCACTCTCCACAATCCGCAGGGAGATTCTACCTTAGCCCCGCCCCTTGTGAAAACGACTCCAAACCCAGGCGCGGTGCGGGGCTGTCGCTCATCATGCGCGCCCTGTCAGTCAAGGGTGCGTGGACCCCGCCCCTAGAAAAGCTCCTCCCTAGTCCTGTCTCTAAACCAAACCGGCCCTTAGGTGGTGTTTGAGAAGGGAGGCGTGTACCTGCACACCAGCGCCCGGAAGCACCAAGATCCGGACTCGCTCATCGCGGGTGTTATCCGTGTGGTGGAAAAGGTTGGCTGGGATGGAGGTGGCATCTGTGGGAACTTCGAATTGAGGGCTGAGGGCCAGTGGGGCGACCCTGCTAAGTCCTCCCATGTTCCTCAGGACGGCGACGTCGTCCTGCACTGGGCACCGGTGGAGGAGGCTGGAGACCCAACCCAGATCCTCTTCTCCAAGAAGGTAGGCATCCCGCACCTCTAACCCACTCAAGTGGAAGGCAGGGGCTGGCTTCTCGTGGACCTGTGAGACTGTTTACTTTGTGAAATGATCTTATGCCCTATACTCTTGGCCCCTTAGGGGACCGTTGGGTGAAAGATTGGGTTCCCATTTCTTAAGGGGTATTGCCTAGTTTTGTTCTGAGGCAGCTGTCTTTTCCCTCTGTTCTACAGTTTCAAGTGTTTGTTTTACGTTTATTACATTTATTTACTCTGTGTGTGTTCCCAAGCGATCTCAAGTTTTGGGTAGCGATCATGGGTTCTCGTACTTGTTTACTTTGGGGTGAGAGTGGCTCGCTGCAGGCGCATTCAGATGCTATGTGCAGGTGTGTGGAAGTTAGGATGTTCTCTCCTTGCACTGAGTGTTGAACTCAGGTTGTCGGGTATGGCAGCAAGTGCTGAGCCATCTCACTAAGTGTAGAGTGTGTCGGGAGGTGGGTGTGGTGTGAGTGTATGGGCTTGTGTGTGCACAACCTGTGGGTGCGTGCAGAAGCCGGAAGATAGCCCTGCAGACCCATGCTGCGGGTACTGGGATCTGAACTCTGGCCTTGGTGCAGCAGAGCATGTTAACCACTAAACTACCTTTCTGGCCTTATTTACTTACTTACTTACTTACTTACTTACGTGTGTGTGTGTGTGTGTGTGTGTGTGTACTACTTGGAGTCAATCCTTCCTCCTTGTGGGTTCTGTAGACTGAACTCAGGTCATCCATTTTACCCACTGAACCATCTGTCTGGCCTTGCTCTTTCTGTTCATCATGGAACTATCACCAGCAGTGTCCTCTGTAGACTCCTCGCTAGGCACAGTGACAGTGGTCATCAGCTAAAGCTCTTCATTCACTTACTGCTCCCTCCTGCCCTTTTTTGTTCTGAAGTGCTGCTCTCATTGGGGCTTTCAGGCTGCAAGCTGGAAACCCTTGAGACAACTCTTCATTCTGTTATTTCTTCTCCCAAGGACTCAAGCGGAGGTGAACCTAGCACCTCAGAGGAGGAGCCTACCTTCGACCCAGGCTATGAACCTGACTGGGCTGTCATTAGCACAGTGCGGCCACGGCCCCACCTGGCAGAGACCAGGAGAGGTAGGTGAAACTGTGCCACTGGGGTCTAGTGGACCTCATCTTGCCCTTAGTGATCATGGTTCCAAAAGTGTTTGTTGTTTGTTTGGGGTTTTTTGCCCACAATCAAGATGGCCTCCAGATGTTTCCTTTCTGGGCTAGGAAAGAATGGCTTGGCTCCAGGTGTTTCCATGAGTTATGCTCCTAAAGGTTTCCAGGCTTGTGGGTGGTGGGAGGGCTGACAGGCAGCTAATCACAGGGTAATTTCTTTCCTTCCTTTTTTCTTTCTCCTTGATTTTTTTTTTTTTTTTTTGACATGGTCTCACTATGTAGCCTTAGCTGGCCTTGAACTCAGAGATCTGCCCACTTCTTCCTGCCAAGTACTGGGCTTAAAGGTGTATGTCACCATGCTCAGCCTCCCAAACCTTTTGCTGTGGCTCAGGTGGGGTCTGGAGCAGAGGCCACAAGTGGTGAGACAGCCAGAGGACTAGGGACACATTTACCTTTGAGTGCCCAGGAGAGGAATATAGTCTTCATACTGATGACTGAGGAGAGCCTGGGAAGGTTCTGGAACACTCTGGGACAGACAGGTGTCCACCAGGCTTCTTTCCAATCTTAGGCAGCCCAGAATCCTCAGAGGCTTGGCAGAGGGCGGCTTCTAGGGAGGACTCGGGACCAGGCTGTTGAGAGAACAGAGATGACCTGCTTTCTCACACTGTACCAACAATTATCCCCCCCCCCCCCCAACCAGGTGCAGAGCCTAGCTGCCCCCGGAGTTCCTGGGCCTTCTCTGTGAGCCTGGGGGAGCTCAAGTCTATCCGAAGGTCCAAGCCAGGCCTTAGCTGGGCCTACCTGGTCCTGGTGACCCAGGCTGGAGGATCCCTGCCTGCCTTACACTTCCACAGAGGGGGTACCCGAGCCCTGCTCCGAGTCCTCAGCCACTACCTGCTGTTGGCCAGGTAAGCTTCTGTCCCAGCTAAACCTTTGAGCCAGCATGTCCTTCTGCAGCTACAGCTGGAGTCTTCAGGACAGTGAGCAAAGCACAGTTCTGATTGCACAGCGCTGAAAAGATCCTTTGCTGTCCTCGTGCTTGGAGGGCTGTGACAGGAGGATGTTCAAGGCCCGTGTGAACTATGTGAGGCTGAAAGTGAGGACAGGGAGGAAAGAAATGGCCCATCTTTATGGGACTTCAATAGTCATCTCCTACAACATAGAAATTATCTTTTCACACAGCTACTCACTGACTCCTCCCTGAGTCAGTCACCCTTACAGAGCCACCCATTGGCTCTTCCCTGCCAGAAGTGCCTTTTGTTGCAGTAACATTTTGGTGATAGGGAAGGGGACTGCGGCATCTGGAGAAAGTGTGGCCAGGCTAGCCCAGGACATCAGGGCCCTTCACCTGGAGTCACTTGTATGTCCCCTTCCAGCTCTCCACAGGACTCCCGCCTTTACTTGGTCTTCCCCCATGACTCCTCTGCCCTCTCCAACTCCTTCCATCACCTGCAGCTCTTTGACCAGGACAGCTCCAATGTGGTGTCTGTGAGTGTCCCTGATTCAGATGCAGGGCATGCGGGGATGACGGGTAAGATCTGGAGGGACAGCTCTTGACACCTGTTGCCTATCCCCAGCGCTTCCTTCAGGATCCCTACTCCACCACCTTCAGTAGTTTCTCTCGTGTGACCAACTTCTTCCGGGGAGCCCTACAGCCGCACCCTGAGGGAACTTCCTCCCCTGACCTACCCCCACTGCCAGATGATGAGCCAGAGCCTGGCTTTGAGGTCATCTCTTGCGTGAGTGTCAGGTGATCCTGTTTGGGACTTCCTATTGTGTCACACAGGCATGTGACTTTACGGCCTCAATTTACTCCTTGGTAACATGAAAACAGTATCTGGGGCTGCTTAAGAAGTGATCTACTCAGGGCATGGTGTTGCAGAGGCAGGCAGATCTCTGTGAGTTCGAGGCCAGCTTGTTCTACAGAGTGAGTTCCAGGACAACCAAGGCTACACAGAGAAACCCTGTCTCAAAAAATACAAATACGAAAAACAAACAAGTGACATCACAGAAATCTCACGTACTAGGCCAGTGGCCTAGGATGGTTTTCTTGTGCTGAGGAGCCATCCAACCCAGAGGCTCCTACCTGCTAGGCAGATGTTCTGTCATTTCCGAACGCCTCCAGACCTTCACTGGTGATCTAGGCAGTGCCCTCCTGCACTAGTTTACCAGCCATTTCTGGAGACGGGGTGTCTCAGTTTACTAGCGTGGCCTTGGACTATGTGATCCTCTTGCCTCAGGCCCGGCTGTGGCTGCTGCTCTCAGGTGCCTTCTTTCCTGGAAGCTTCCTGCTGGCCAGAGAAGGTGGTGTTCTCTGCCCCTGCTCTTTAGGGTTCCTCCAGCCTGGGAGGGCTTGGCTCACCTGCTCTGTGTCCTGCAGGTGGAGTTGGGGCAGCGGCCCTCAGTGGAGCGGGGTCCTCCAGTTACTGAGGAAGAATGGACCCGCCATGTGGGTCCTGAGGGTCGCCTGCAGAATGTCCCCGAGTTGAAAAATCGGATCTTCTCAGGAGTGAGTGTCAGTGGTGTAGGATGGGGTGGCAGCTGGCCAGGAGAAAGCCCTCTGACCTGTCTGTTTTATTGCACCCCCAGGGTCTCAGCCCTGGCCTGCGGCGGGAGGCTTGGAAGTTCCTCCTGGGGTACCTTAGCTGGGAGGGCTCAGCTGAAGAACACAAAGCCCACATTCGGAGGAAAACGTGAGAAAGTGCAGCCCCACAGCCTTTGGACACTCTTGCCCCACGGCTTGATTCTCCCAGTCTCCGGACCAGTGTGTCCTGGAGCCAGCACAGCCCCTACTGTTGAGGGATGGTGTGAGCTGTGTTGGGCTTCTCCCACAAATGCTGATTTGAAGTCACTGTATGCAGTGAGCAGCCTCTTCCCCGTGTGGCTGTCTCCTGAGTGGTGCCCCTGTCACTATGGTGCTGGACTGTTGCAGTTCCTGCAGCTTTGCAGTGGCTGTTGGCTCGTGCCTGTGGCTATGAGCCACCTGCTGTGTCTGCCCCTTGTGAGGACCTGAGGGTGGCTCAGTGTCCCCTGGACATGCTTTTTTGGCAGAGGGAAGGGTGGTGACAGATATTACAACCCACAGGGTGTTCTCTGCAGAGAAACATCAGGAGAGAGAAGAAAGGGACAGGCAGGGACCATGTGGCCTATGGGCAGGGCAGGGCTTAGGGAGTGATGATGTGGGCAGATGTTTCTCCAGGTGTTCCTGGGTACTGTGCTAGCGGGGCTCATAGCTTCTGTGTCACTCTGCACTCAGGGATGAGTACTTCCGAATGAAGCTGCAGTGGAAGTCTGTGAGTGCTGAGCAAGAGCGGAGGAATTCACTGCTGCATGGATATCGAAGCCTCATTGGTGGGTGGGGTCAGGGTGGGGGACAGACAGGAAGCAATGGGTAGGGTTTGGGGGAATAGGGAAGAGGTCATGGGGCCTACTCAGCTCTAGCTAAGAGAATATGGGTCTTCGTCTCTCGGTGCCTGTTTCACCAATTGCAGAGGGCATAGACAGAGTCTCAACTGGGGGTGGTGGTAATGGGTTTGGGGAAGCCCCATCCTCACTGTGGCATGAGCCCTGAAGTTGAGGGCTGCCGGCGTATGGAGGGATAGTACCTCTGACTAGCTAGGAAGGTAGCCAACTACCTTTCATGTTCCTACCATGTTGGCCCCCCACAGAAAGAGACGTAAGCCGCACTGACAGGACTAACAAATTCTACGAAGGCCCTGAGAACCCTGGGCTGGGCCTGCTCAATGACATCCTCCTTACCTACTGCATGTACCACTTTGACTTGGGTGAGCGCCACACTGGTGGGGAAAGGGCTGGGTGCCCTGGGTGCTCAAGGAATGGCAGCTGACCCTGTGTTCCCCCAGGCTATGTTCAGGGCATGAGTGACCTCCTGTCCCCGATCCTCTTCGTTGTGCAGAACGAAGTGGATGCCTTCTGGTGTTTCTGTGGCTTCATGGAACTTGTGGTGAGGCCCAGGATGGGAGAGAGGGAGCGGCGGGGACAGCCACTAAGTCTACAGTGCTCTCACGCTTCCTCCTGCTCCCTGCAGCACGGGAACTTTGAAGAGAGTCAGGAGACTATGAAGCGGCAGCTTGGGCAGCTCTTGCTTCTCCTGCGGGTCCTGGATCAGCCACTCTGTGATTTTCTGGGTAAGGCCTGTGTGAGACCATCTGAATGAGAAAAACATCTCAAGTAATCTGGCATTCAAAGCTAGGGCCATGGGGAAGCCTGCCCACTTTGGACCAGGTAATGTTTCTCTGGACCCTCAACTAGAACCACTGCATTCTGTGAGTTCCTTGTTGCTTGTTTAATATGAGAAATGCTAACTGTGTTTAATATGAGAAATGTGGCTCGCTTGGGAGGAAGTGAGTGGTGGCACTGTCCTGTAGCACTAGGAGAGCTAAGGGGTGCAAGTCATGCCTGCCATCTGCCTGTCCCACTGCTTAGCACACTGTGATCTGGACTGTGACTCGATCACCAACTGTGAGCAAGGCTGACTGCCTGTGGTCCTCCTTTCCTCCTCTAGATTCTCAGGACTCAGGCTCGCTGTGCTTCTGCTTCCGGTGGCTGCTCATCTGGTTCAAGAGGGAGTTCCCCTTTCCTGATGTCCTTCGGCTGTGGGAGGTGAGCAGCCAGTCCGGGTGAGAGGATTGGTGGAAGGGCTGGGAGGTTGAAGGGAGATGGGCAGGTCAGGATGGGTCTTCAGAGGTTCCTTCTGACACCTCAGGTACTGTGGACTGGGCTTCCTGGCCCCAATCTACACCTGCTGGTGGCCTGTGCCATCTTGGACATGGAGCGGGATACGCTGATGCTATCTGGCTTTGGCTCCAATGAGATCCTTAAGGTGAAGTGAGGGCATTTCCCACCCGCTGCCCAGACTTAAGTGGCAATGTGTGGTGCTGGCCTTCGGGCTGTCAGTGGATCAACGTGTCTGGGTGGGGTTGGAATTGTTTCCCGTCTACCAGGTTACCAGCCCTGTACCTTAGATAATAGTGCAATAGTGCAGTAGAGGAGCCTGTCTCTCCTCAGTGCGGGCCCTCCCTACTGTGCTTCAGCATCCCAGTGTGCCAGCAGGGAGTGCTATGGAAAATTGCAGCAGTCCAGGGAATCCTAAATCCAGGAATCCCCTAGCTAGGCCCTGTACCCCCAGGACCAGCCCTCTTCCCTCCATCAGCAGAATGCGTGTGTATACCTGACCTTCCCCTTCCTGCAGCACATCAATGAACTAACAATGAAGCTGAGTGTGGAGGATGTGCTGACTCGGGCAGAGGCTCTGTACAGGCAGCTGATGGCCTGCCCAGTGAGTCCTTTGTGCTTCTTGCCCAATAAATGCCTGCCCAGCCCTCCTCATCCTCCACCCCTTGTGACTCTACCTTGACATATCAGCTAGCCTCTTGGACTACCCCTGTCCTTACAGGAGCTACCACACAATGTGCAGGAGGTCCTGGGGCTGGCACAGCCCGAAGAGCCCGGTACCCCATCTCCTCCCATATCCCCACTGCCACTGTCACCAACTCGGGCCCCGATGCCTCCACCACCGCCCGAGGAAGCAGTCCCGCAGCCTGACAGCAGCCTGGAGATTTTGCCAGAGGACGACGATGGCACCGACACTTAGCCCGCTGCAGCTTGATCGGATTCCCGCAGATTGACAGGTCTTGAGCTTCATGGCCATGGGAAGGAAGCCAAGACCCTGATCTGGCCAATGAAATGGAGGAAGGTCCTCCTAGAGGTCCGGCATTCCTGAGATCCCGCCTAGCAGCTGCTGCCAATGTGGGGCAATAAACCGTTCTTGTTTGGCATGAGCATGTTTTATTTTTCGAATCTTGCCCATAGCCCAGGATGGTCTCAAGACTGTCAGGTTTTCTGTTCCAGACAAGACATGTCAGCACCCCAGCCTCCAGTGGCTTCCGGTCTCCACTTGACCACAGTGTATCGTAGTATTCACACAGTGTCTTCCCCACCCAGGGCGGCTCTACATTCAGGAAACCAGAGAAGAATGGAGAAGGGAGGGAGGAGCTGGGCCTCTGGGTTTAACAAAAATAACTTTATTGTGGGCCATCATCCTGGGTGGTCTGCTCTAGAGAGAAGGGCTGGGTTGGGAGCTGGGTGTCCACATCCCCTTTCCACGAAGAATGGCCCGCCTCTCCACGCAGATGTGTGTGTTGCTGGGGACCAAATCCCACTTGCCTGTGTTCTCCATGTTCACGCACTTTGGGGTTGGCATTCTGGTGCAGATGCGCACGCCCCTTCTGGGGGATGCGCTCCTCAAACATGTGCCCTTGCAGTGCAGGGATAGCCTCCATGAACATAGGTTGCTGCTTGGAGGGCTTTGTTCCCTGGAACAACTGCTCCACAGAGCTGGGCTTCTGCTCCTGGAGGCTGGCCACTGGTTTCTCGGGGCTGCTTGCCCCGAACCCGTGGTTATTGATCTTCACTGCGGCCCGCAACGCGGACTTGACAGCAGTCTCTACCCAGCCATGCGGGTGGGCTGTATGCTCACCCGCGAAGTAGATGCGGCCATAGGGGGATGACCAGTCAAAGTCCTCGTCCGTCTGCCCGAACAATGGTGGCTGCACCACGAAGCCTCCTTGGCTGTGTGGGTCCTCTGCCCAGCGCTTGACGACGCCTGTGCCGTCCCATAGCCGGAACACTGCTGGCCCGTGCAGGGATGCCACGTCCTTGAGCGCTACACGCATGGCCTGGTCAGTGCTCAGTCCAGCGAAGGGAGCTGAGGCGTCTGACCATGTGTACGAGGCCAGCAGCAGCGCGCCCTCGCCCGGCGCTGGATAAAATATGAGGCGCGATGGGCGGTCGGTGTTGGAGTGGCCGCCTTCAATGTGCTCCTCGCGCCAGAAGGGCCGGCGGAAACTCAGGAAAACCTTGCTGGCTGCCACGTAGTGTAGCGAGCGCAGTGCCTCCTGCCTCCTACGTGACAGGGGCGGCGAAAAGGTGATGCGCTGCAGAGCAGGCCCACTGGCCGTCAGCAACACCTGGTCGGCTGTCAGCATCTTCAGGTTGGGAGACTGGAGCGAGGAAGCGACATGCACGTGCACATTGTGCATCCCCTGAGTGATCGCCACCACTGGCGAATTCAACATCACCGACCCGGGCAGCGAGCTCATCAGTGCGCGCGGAAGCAGGTCCCAGCCACCCACAATGCGGCTGTACCTGGAGGGCAGGGCAAAGCGGAATGGGCACATTGACCCTGGTCAAAGCACACGGGCTCTTAGGGAAAGCCTTATCCCCACCTGCCCTGCCTCTCCCAGGATGCCCCTCGTGACTTGCCCTCACCGGATTCGGTCGCTCAGGCAGCTGTGCGCACGTAAGGCCTCTTCGAAGCTGAGGTAGAAGAAGCCCTCCTTGGACATCACGTCTCCCAGAAGCTGCACGGCCGGCCGGGTCAGGTTGCCCTCCCTGAGGAGGTATTCCTATGCAGTGGGCAGGAGTCCTGGTCAGACCCTTCCCTGTTGAGCCCTGGTTCTCAACTATCTCTTGTGACAGGAGAGGGGAGCAGCCATGTCTCACTCACCAGGAGCGTGTGCTTGTTGAACTTCTTCATGGCTTTCTTGCAGCCCAAGGCCTTGAGGTCTTTGAGGGCCTGTGGGGGACAATTAGAGGACCCTGGCTATAGTGGGAAAAGCCATTTACCCTACTTCAAGTCCCAGCCCTTGGCTCATGCTACATGTGCCTCCTCTAAAGCTGGTAGACTCCGCCCCCCAGACCCCCCTAAATGCTGGATTTTCCTCATTTGCCCACCCAGTCAGTAGTGGCGTGTTTCTGTGCAGGCTAGGGAGGTGCTGCTATCCTTAGAGGTTCAGTAATTGTACCTTTGTGGGTACAAGCAGGTGAGGGCTCTCATACCCCAACAGGGCACTACTACCAGCAGCGCCCCTTCACCCACAGCTTTCCTTGGCTTCCCAGCTACAAGAGGAAGCACTAGAGTCCCAACCCTTAACCCAGCAGCCTGTCCCCAAGGACCAGCATCCTCCTTCACCCTTTCTTGCAGCAGGCAGTAGTGGTTCTAAAGCATGGAGTCCAGGGCCACCTCCCCCTCTGCATACAGGCTCTCCTGCCTGGCATTTAGTGATCTTCCTTCAAGCTCCTTCCGAACATTGCCTCCAGCCTTTTTACCCTGCCCTCCTTTGTCCTGGATAAGGAGGAAGGTGCTCAGGCAAAGACATATCCAGGATGCAGACTTAGGGATGATGGATGAGCCAGGTGGGATTCCAGGAGCAAGGAGGGTATGCCTGGATTACCAGGTGGACAAAGAGGAGGGGAAGCTATCTGGCAGGTCTGGCCCATGGGCATGAGAGGCACTGGGGAGCCACACGGAGTTGTGGTCAGGGTCAGTGGTGTGGAAAAGAGGGTGATGACAGCATTATTTGAGGCAACCAGACGGGGGCAGAGTAGTAGTGTTGTGGAGGCCAGAGTGCCAGGGCCTACAGGGGCAGATGTGCTGGGAGGAGCCAGAGTGCCAGGGCCTACAGGGGCAGATGTGCTGGGAGGACTCAGGGAATACCAACTGGCTGTAAGCAGAGGTGTGGAACAGACATCGACAGGATGGTAGGACAGACAAGACTCTTGGGGGCAGGGCTGGGCTCAGCAGGAGAGCTGGTGGCCACCTTGTTGAGTGCCATCTGGTAGATGTCCTCTGGGGACCGGCCCTTCTCCCTGTAGCTCAGGTCGTAGCCCAACTTTTCTGGCATCTTGTCCACCACATAGTTGCGCAGCTTCACATCATTCACCTCCGTCCACGTGTTCTCATCATACTGTGTGAACTGAGTCAGGTTGAGGCCCAGTGTCTTGCAGAGCTTGTGCAGGATCCTGAAAGGGGAAGGCTGCTTGGGAAGGCCTGGCCTGGCACTACAGGAGGGCCAACTGGGGAAGGGCATAAAGCTAGTAACTGGGGACCTGAGGGCTGTCTCAGGAGCTGGGGTGAGAATAGGGGCAGAACTCAGGCAGGCAGCAGGTGAGGGACACAGATCCCTAGCCTTCCAGAAGGCACAGCTGGCACAGCCAGATGTAACTGCAGAATGCTGAGCCAAGCTGCATTAGCCAGGAGGGACATACTATGGGATGTGAGTGGGAAGTGAGGTCTAGACCTTCTGAATTGGTAGGAATATGGGTAACACTGGAGAAGAGTTATGGGTAGAGCTTAAGGCCCATCGTTCCATATATAGCACCTCAAAAGTCAAGGACATTGGCACCTGCACTAGGGATAGAGCTAGGTTCTGGTTGAGCCCAGAGCAATGGGGCTGGGATTGGCTGAGCCTGAATCAGGGATGGGAGTTGGCTGAATATGGGGTGGGTATGGAACTGGGCTCTGCTGTCTGGGTGGGACCTCACCTGTGGGAGCTGGGCATTCGCATGGCCCCCAGCTCCCCTATCCAGCCTGTCTTCCAATCCCGATGGGTTAAGATACGGCCTCCAATCCTGTTATCTGCCTCCAGGATGGTGACCTAAAGATGAGGGGCAAGCAGTGACCTCATCTCCGCTCACTATACCCACACCAGCCCCCTGCCTGTCCTGCTTCCCTCAGAGAGGCACACCTAGACTAGAAGGACCTTTCTTCCTGGTAGAAGGGGCTGCTAGAAGAACAGAGGGTAAGGTTTCAAGACTGCAGCAGGAAGACCACCAGATGTACTGGGGAGGACTTGTCAGCTTAGGGTAGAAGTAGGGAGATTTCCTGGTTTGCGTCGAAGACTTGAGGGCTGGCTGGGTTTCAGGGGACACTTCCCCTTGGGAATTTCTCACACACTCCAATACAAATCCCCATCTTGACTCTTAAAAATTACATTAGAAGAAATTCGGCCTTTCCTCCAGGATGAGTGGAGTGCAATGGGTCAATGATGGGAGCTCTGGGAAAGAGAAGCTTCTGCACCTCCCACCACCCAGGCCTTCACACCCACAGCAGGAAAGGCTCCAGGTAGACTGCAGGCACTCTTCTCACCTTGTGTCCTGCATCACTGAGCACCTTGGCGGCTACCAGCCCGGCTGCACCCGCACCAACCACTATCACCTTCTGGGGCTTCAGGGTCCGATTGAGGCCCAAGGTCACCACCTTGAGTAGATGCTCATAATCAGGGTCTTTCATACACTTCTCAAAAAGGCTCATGTTAGAGGCTGCCAGACCAAGCAGGATGGCCAAAAGGACAAAACGTGCAGCTGGCAAAAGGACAGGGTCAGTGCACAGACAGCAAGAGTACAGACATCAGTTATCCCAGAACCCTCATTTCCCCGTTTGCTCACTTACCAAGTCCAACCATGGCTCAAGGGGCAGCTGCTGTCTGAGTGAAGCTGAGGGCAGTGTAATCGGACCAGGGACCAGGCCCCCCAGCCTATCCCCTGCCTTCCTCCTTGAGCATGTGTTTCCCCAGACCTAATCTTGATCCTTCTGAAATCCTGGGACCATCGAACCGACCTCTGGCCTAGCTCCTGTCCCTCCTGCCTCCCAGTCCTGGATGCTGGGGTCCAGTCACTGCCACCACTCTCCGGGTAGCTCTTCCTCCAGCTCTCTTGGACAGGACAGCAGAGCAGAGACTCTGCAGCTTTCCCCTTATAGCAAGCAGCCAGTCCCACCCACTCACCTCCCTGGGGAATTAAAAGTGCTTTCCTAGAGTAGGGTGAGGGGTGGAGTGGGGAAGAAGACCACAGGAGGAAGTAACTCAGACTATTTTCTTTCCTCCTGCCCCAAATAGCTGTGGGGAAGCTGGGGGTGGGGACTGCCCATCCAGGTGGCATCTTGTTGGTGGGCTCTGTGCTCTAGGCCTCCTGGACTTGGGCCTGCCCATCCCTGGGTCAGGCCTCCCCTCCCCATCTCTACAGGCCTGTCTCCAACTCTACAGACTGGCACATACAAGGCTGTGGCCTGGGCTCTTGGGCTAGAGCCTTCCACCTTCTGATGCACATCTCAGCCTGCTAATGTAACATGGTCCAGCACAATTATGGCAGGAGTGGAGCTAGGTCAGGGCCTGCATACAGCACTTGGCCAGGGCCAGAACCTGTTGCTGCAGTGCAGGAACATGAGGGCTGGTTGGTAATGGCTGAATGGCCAGTTGTCCCTCCTTACTTTGTCTTAAGAACTGATGGGCAGCAGACCTCAGAGAAATGTCCCTAGAAGCCTCTGCCTCTGGCCTTCAGGAGGTCATGAGCAGATGACACCAGTGTGGCCCAAAGCCGTTGATATGAGGCAAGAGGGTGCGTGGGGCGGGGGGGGGGGGGGGGACTTTCCTTGGGGTCGGGAGAAGATGGGTTAGAAGAAAAGCCAGAGCGGGAAATCACACAGGGAGCAGACAGGGGAACTCCGGAGCCCATTAAGGGGAGGTGGTTAGTATATGTATGATATGTGGTTTGGGCCAAATAGTGGCCAGAAGTGCAAAGCCATGCAAGCTGGAGGTCCCAGGCCAAGTCCCATGGCTCAACACAGTACTTGGTTTCAACCCTACAGAGAAATTGACAGTCCTGGGCAGGGTGGGGTAGGCATAGCCTCCTCATGGCCTTTTTTTTTTCCCTCTGTGTAGCCCTTGCTGGCCTTGATCCGCCTGCCTCTGCCTCCCAAGTGCTGGGATTAAAGGCATGTGCCACCACTGTTAAATTTATAGACAGGATCTCATTCTGTATCCAAGGCTAGCCTCAAACGCCCTATTATCCTTCTGCCTTGGTGTCCTGAATGCTACAATGTCAACATCACTATGGCCAGTACTCTTCCTTAGCTTCTGGATTCCATTCAGCACCAATGACAGGAGCCTGAAGTTGCCATGGTTAAGAACAGACAAAGGTAGGGCCTGGCATACAGAGACCACAGTTTTAACATTTAAAAAATGTATGTGCTTGATTGTTTTACCTTCATGTATGTCTGTATACCATGTGTGTGTTTGTTGCCCAAAGAGGCCAGAAAAGGATGCTGGACCTGCTGGAACTCAAGTTATGAATGGTTGTGAATCCCCATTGACATCCTGGTAATTGAATCCTGGTCCTCTGGAAGAGCAGCCAGTGTTCTTGACTCCCTAGCCACTTCTCCTGCCCCATGGCAACAGCTTTTGGGTCCCTGGTTGAAGTAGACTGGAGTTGCTCCCGTTGCCCTAAGGAACTCTGGGGAGCAAACACAATGGGTTCTGGTAGAGTTGCCAAATCTCAAGCTAGTGATCCAGTGGTGAGGCACGTGTGATCACACGTGTTTGTCATCCCAGCCCATCCCCATCATCGGGAGTTCAAGACCAGCCTGGGCCATAATGAGACCCTATCTCAAAACATTAAATACTTAAAACTCCAAACACCCCATGTTAGTGCCAAGCAGTATTACTGAACCTACGTTAAGAATGCCAAGGGTTGGGCCACCATTGGGATACTGTCCTCCTCTGGTTATGCTGAGGTCTTGAGAACAAGGCAGGGCATGTGGGAATGGGACCAGGGAGGCAGGAGTTGGGAGCAAGAAGTTCAAGGAGGCTAAGTGTACTGCAGCAAAGGCAGGAGCCCAGAAACTAGTATGTACATGTGTTATGGCCACAGGCAAACCTGTCAGCCACTGCTGGCTTTGGGAAACCCAGCTTCATAATGGGCCTTCTAGGTAAAAATGGTCTTTGGGGATTCCCTGCCACTGTGGCTCAGTTTCTGATCCACAGAAGAGTGCTATAAGCAAACCTGGTTTAGGCCTCCCTGAAGGCAGGGCTTGCTCGGAGAGGCCCTGGGACCTCACTAACTATATAGCTTTCAGTCTAAAGTCATTGTCACCAAGAGGAGGGGTCATAGTGACCAAGGCCTGGACAGGAACAGTGCAGCTGTGGCCTCAACCACGCCTTCCCACCCCAGAAAGGGGACACTCACTGCATGCTGGCCTTTGGGGGGCTCTCCTGGCGCCCATGGCCTTTCTGGTCAGCCTGGAACGGAAGTCATCCTCTGGCGCAGGCAGAACCAGGGTGAATGGTGATAGCTTTGTCCTACTGCCTTGTTAGGTCAGGGAAGCCAGATCCTGGTAGGAAAAGCAGTTGGGAGGCTGTGGCACTTTTTTTTTTTTTTTTTAAGAGAATGCTTATTTTTGTTTTTTGAGACAGGGTCTCACTGTAGCCTAGGATCTTCTCGAACTTGAGGCCATCTTTTTGCCTTGCCTCTCAAACTATGGGCTAACAGGTATGAGCCACCCTATCCCTTGCTCACCCTCTACCAGTCTTCCCTGACATGGGACTATTTTGAATCACATCTCAGACACACTCTTCTGATAGGATGTTTTCCTAGATGGTTCTTTATGACAGGAATGGTCAAACTTCCCCTGTAAACACTTGAGGATTTACAGCCCAGCCAGCATAGAATATAAGGGTATGGCTGTGTTTACTGACAAAAAGAAAGGCCACAGAGAGCCAACTTCTACCCTTTAAAATGCTAACTTCCCAGCATTTGGAGGCAGAGGCAAACAGATCTGAGTTCCAGGCCAATCAGGACTATATACCATCTCAAAAATATATGTGCACTCAGTTTGGGGGGGTGGGCACCACACTGATGACCTATAGACTGGATATATAATGCAGTTGGTAGACTATAGCATGTACAAAAGTTGGGTTTCCTAGCACCACGTACACCAGACGTGGTGGCACAGGAATGACAGCACTCAGCTAGAAACCTCATTTCAAAACAAAACACGCATTTACAGTTCTACTGATGACTATCTGAAACTCCTTCTGTGGAGCCATTTTTTTTTTTTTCAGGAAGTGTCTCTTTCAGAAGCTGAACTTTTGCCAGACCCTTTAAGCAGGTCAATAATGTGCCCTGAGACCTTTAAAAACTGTCTTTAGCTGGTTCCAATTTAACTGGCCCTTAAAGATAACAAGGTAACCAACCTTTCTGGCCTTGCTCTTCCCACCCAATCAGCTGCTGCAAACATGCTGTACTCTTTAAGGCCTGGGATCCAGTGACTGGGTTTGATTTGTGGTAGTCATTGGCTGAGGGCAATCTTAAAACATCCCATAAATGCTGGAAGCAACATGTGCATATAGATTGGTGGCATCTGTGTGCAGTTTCAAGAGCTGTTTTTGTTTCCTTAGAAAACTCTCAGGGACCTCTGTGGTGGCGGCACATACTTGATTCTCAGCACTTGGGAGGCAGAGGCAGGAACTCCCGGCTGAGTTCCACAACAGCCAGGACTACACAGAGAGAGACCATGACTCAAAAAACAAAAGAACCAAAACTACAAAAACAAACAAAATTTAGCACTCAGCCGGGTGAGGCAGCACACAACTTCAATCCCAGCACTCTGGGAGGCAGAAGCTAGACTGGTCTACAAAAGTTGAGTCCAGGACAGCCAAGGCTACACAGAGAAAGCCTGTCTCCAGGGTAGAGAGGAGAGGGAGGAAAAAGAGCCACCCCCCAAATCCCTTATCACCCATTCCTTCCCCATAGTAATCTTTTCTGTGCTGCTCAATGAATACAGAGCAAAGCTGTACAGAGAGAAAACAGGGAAAGACAGAGAAGTGGAGAGTTTGAACTTGGGTTCCCTCTTGGTCTCTTTTCATTGGACATTTTACACTACTGATCCCCGCCCCTTCTGAGACAGTCTCCTACTAGGCCAGGCTAGTTCCACCATGCTGGACCACAGGCTGGACCCTGGCTATCCAGGGAGACATGTAGAAGAGGCTCCTCATGCAGTCACCTTTGCTGTCATGGTGGTTAATGATGAAACCGGTCAGCGAGGCAGGACATCTGCCTATGTTCTTCCTGGAGAGGGAAACTGGAATTATAGTGTAGCCTGGGCAACAGTGCCCAACAGGGTGCCAGTAACATTGCCTCCCTGGACACCCTCCCCATTCCCCACAGAGATGTTTTCTTCCAGTGGGACAAATCTTCAGGGCATTTCCAGGCTTTAAAATACAACAGTGTTAGGGCATGTACTTAGCATGCAGCCCCTAGCCCAAATGGCAAAATCCGGTTTATGTCCAACATACAACCCCAAATGAGGACATACATTAGAAATGCACGCTGACCACCTTTATTGCTTGAACTGAAAATGTGTGTAAGACAAACCTTGAGAGAAACTGAGGCCTAAGTGTCATAATCAATTAGGATCAAGCCATGGAGTACAGAACTGGGATGTAGCTGCTTGCCTATAAACCTAAGTGCTCAGGAGGCTAAGGCAGGAAGATCACACCAATTCAGAGAACCTGGGCTAGGGCAGGGGATCCTGTCTTCAACCAACTAAAAATCAAAGAGGCCACTGGGGTCCTCAGGACTTGTGCCCTGACTCTACGTAGCTTTCCCAAGACAGTCTCATGTGGCTATGTAGCTGAAGAGGACCTGGAACTCCAGAGTGCTGGGGTTACAGGTGTTCATCACAATTCCAGGCTTTCTCATTTTTAAAAAAAATCTGTGAGCTTTTATTTCTTGCATGACTTTGCCTGCATGTATTATATCCGCACTATGTGCACAGTGCCCAAGAAGCTCAGAAGAGGGCACCCAATAATCTGGGACTGGAATTGCAGGTAGCTGTAAACTACCATGTGGATGCTGAGGGTCAGTGGATTGCGTCAGCTGGTGCTCTTAGCCAGAGGTCTATCTCTAGCCCCGCAGTTTTCTTTTGTGCTTTGAAGCCCAACGTGATCCAAGGAAATAACTTGTAGCCCCACTCCTGAATCTTCACACTGCTGGTCCAAGGTCCCTAGTCCTCTAGAAAGGCAGCCTAAGTGAGCCCAGCATCTGGAAACCTCCTCTCAGGGTTCCCTGTACCCACTGCTGATGACATCACAATGACACCTGCACCCATTACAGGAATGGATGACTTACCAGTTATGCACACTGGTGGACAGGACTCTCTTTTTGCACCTGCAACCTGCCCACCCCAGGAAGACAGCTCACTCAGCCTGTGGTTCCAACCCAGTGACACGGGACTAGATATCAAACCAGTAGTACCCCACCCTACCCCACCAAATCTTGGACCTTTCTCCACTATCCACATTCACAGCAGGTCTGATTTCACAAAATTTTCTTTATTTAGAAAAGCAACATTTCAGTAAGAGGCCACACAGGCTACAGCAGACAGAGTACAGAGAAATAAAACAGACCAGGACATGACTGCTGGCCTTCAACACTGTGGATCTGACCGTGTCTGAGATGACACCGGGACACTCAGAAGCAGTCTGCAGCAACCCTGGCATAGCAGCCAGTCCCTGCCATAGGAGCTTACAAGCTAGGGGTGACAGAGGTAGTCCGCGCAAAACAGGTGTTAGCTCAGTGTGCCTCGACTCACTCTGCTTTGTGTGGCAGAGGCTCTGGAGGACATGGGCTAGATGGGAGTTGGAGAAGCACAGAAGCACAGGGCTTTCAAACCCACCACGTCTCCACCCCAGTTTTTTGGCCAGTATCTCTTCTGAAGTATCCTGTCCAACTGTCATAGTCGAACTGGAGTAGTTAAAAGGTGAGCTGGACAAACAGGAGAGAACTGAGCTGCTGTGAGGCAGCACTGGACTCAACACTTGCCTTTAAATGCTGGCCAGGAGCTCAGTGACCTACACGCTAGTCTCCGGAGCCCACAGTTTCATCCATGAGTGTCATGCCTCGCAAAAACACTTCTGTTAACAGGGAGTCAAACCAAAGAAAGCTCTCAAAACAACCACCCGAAAGAAAGCCAGTACCCTAGCAACCCAAGGAGCCCCTCCCACTCACGTGGGGCTAGTCAAAGGCAATGCGAAGGCTGCGCTCCTGCTCCTTGCGCCGGCCCTCACACACTCGGCTGGCCTCTTCCACCCTCCTCTGCAATAGGGCAGAGCTCTGGTCCACCCACTGAAGGGAGTCCATGTGCGCGTTGAGGATCTTGCAGATCTGCTGCAGCGGGTCACTGGTGTCTGCAGGGCCACCAGCCATGTTCAGGTGCTCTATGATGTCCTTGAGGTCCTGTGCCATTCGCTTGAGCTGAGCATCGATGTTCTCAGCCAGCTTGTAGGTCTTCTCACGCTCCTCATCGGCATGCTGAAGGTAGATGGTGCCACTTTGCTCCTTCACTGACTCCTCCAACGGGCTCAGAAGGTCTTCCAGCTCCTTTTGCTGTGAAAGGATAAAATCCAGCTCCTGGTCCAGGCGCTTCTGATCCAGCTTCACCTTCTCCACCTCACGGTGCAGGCTGGTGATCTTCTCCCCATTCTCAATCAGTGTGCGGTCCCAGGCATTGACCTGTGTGGCCTGCTGCAGGAAGTGCCGCTCCTGGTCCTCCAGTTCCAGGCTCCACTTGTTGATCAGGCTTTCCAGCTGCGCATAGGTCATCGCAGGACCTGTGGTAGCCCCAGCTGCTGTGCTGGAGGCAGGCAGAGCAGTCCCAGTACCCGCCACACTGCTGGAGCCAGCAGGCACCAGGGGTTTCAGGCTCAAGGCAAAGCCAGTGGTTGTAGTGGAGGAGGAGGAGGAGGAGGAGGTGGTGGTGGTGGTGGTAGTAGTGGTGCTGGTGGTGGAGGCACCAGGAGCTGTTCCAGGGGCCTTGAGGCTGAAGCCCAAAGTCCCAGCACTAGGAGTGGCTGTAGTTGTCACCGGAGCTGAGAGGGAGAGCGCTGTGGCACTGGATGAGGCAGGAGCAGCAGCTATGGAAGCAAAGAGTGTAGACCCTGCACTGGTGGTGGCAGCTGTGGGTGTGGCAGCAGCTGGCTGTGCTGCTCCTGCTGTAGTGGTCACCAGAGTGGCTGGAGTGAACGGAGAGGCAGACAGTGCTGTGGGCTGGGCTGAGCTACCCATGGAGCCAATGCTAAAGCCAGAGGCTCCTGGCTGGGATGCACTGCCACTGGTGAATGAGAACCCCGTGGAGCCGGTGGATGGAGCAGAGGTGGTAGAGGAGCCAAAAACAAAGCCAGTGGGGGCTGTCCCCTGGCTGGTGGAGCTGCCACTTGAGATGGCAGT